CTATTTCTGAACTTCATATAAGTAGAATCATACTATGTATTTTCTTCTCTTTTTTACTCAATATTATTATTAAAATTCATCTATGTTGTAGTCTGTATGGGTAGTCCATTCATTTTCACTACTCGCTATAGTATTCCATTCTATAAATACACCACAAAGTATAAATGTTTAGGTTATTTCTAGTTTTTGCAATTATAAACAATGATGCTATAAGCAACATAGTTAAACATGTCTGTTAATTCAGTAATTATTAAATGACTTTATGTTATTCAGTAATTATTAAATGACCCTAGAGAGAAGATATGCCCTTGTTTCTCTCCTACTCTCCAAGGCATATTTCCTAGAATTAAAATAATCTTTATATTCCTCTCTTTAATCATGAGTGTATCCTGATATCTGGGAAACCTGATCATTTTTCCTAAGATCTTTTAAAGCATATATCCTTCTAGAATGAACACCCTTCTACTGAAAATGCTCATCATCTTGTCTTCCTAGAATTTCCAGGAGGATGTAAAGATTAAATTCTGCTGCGACCTCCTTTAAAAAAAAAGACTAAATAGAAATTAGATACTAAGTTTTAAGGGAAAAAAAAATCCACATCTCAATCACATAGCCTTCCCCAATATTGGGGCTTTGGGAAGCAGGTGTCTATGGTTTTACAATATCATTAAAGTAAAGCATTTAAGGTAATTCACACGGAATGGATATCTGGTTGTATTAAAAATATTGGGTAAAATGATCCAGAGATAATGTACAACATATAGTTTCTGTCGATATGAAGTGTATGTGTTGGGAAAATACATGAGCACATATGAAAAAGATTGAAGGGTACTTCCAAATTAGCCCTGCTTATCTCCCCTCAAGACAGCAGACTTCAAGGTACCTAAGTTCAAAAGTGAATCTTTACAGTTATTCACTTATTAACTCAATGATCAGTGTGAAAAATAATTTTAAGTTGGAAACATGAGTTTCAGGTTGCAAAGATGTAACAATACAAATGGTCACTACATATAATTAAAATGTACTTTTTTCTTACTCAGTTTTTACATGACTGTGTTACCTAAGTAAGTCCATAGTAGTCAAGCACAGAATTGAGAAGGAAACAGTAGATAAATATCTAATCAGTGGGACTATTCCACTAAATTATTAAAGAAAAATAGCCTTTTAAAAAATTGTATCTTCATATTTTTGCTTTGCTGATTTCTTTTCTTGGCCTCAAATGTCAAATCTACCTAATCTCCAAAGGCTTTTATAAACCATGCTCCTTCCTCCAGCTACCATCCTATCAATCTTCTTCACTGTAAACCTTCTTGAAAGAGTGTTCGATACCTCCTGGACCAACCTCATCATACAATTCCATATCTTTCTTCACAGAAAACTATCTCCTGTCCCCATCCTTCTACTGAAAATTCTCTTCAAAATTAGAAAACTCCTAAATGCCAAATTCAGAATCATTTATTAATTATTATCCCACTTGACTTTTCTGGAGAATTTGACACGTTGATTATCCATTTCTGGAAAATCTCTCTCCATGGCTTTCATTCCCAAGTATAACAACTTCTTTTCTCCCGTCCTCTGTTCTCCTCTACATGGCACTCCCTCTTCCCAGAATTTTTCTCACCCTACCCTGTCTTTTCTTCTTAAAAAAAATCTCTACCTATCTTACACGGCACAACTAAAATGTCACCTCCTCTGTATGTTTTTCCCCCCAAGGCTCAGATTGAATTTAGTCATTTGCTCTTCTGTGTTTCTGAAGCACTGGATACATACTTCTATAATAGCTATTATTACACCGCATATTAGCTATCCATTTATATACCTGTCTCCCTCTACTAAACCATAAAGCTCCTTGAGAGCTGCAACTGAATTTGTTCATTTTTGTATTCCTAGCACTAGTTCAGATGCTACATAGTGGAAACTCATTAAACGTTCTGTGAATGAGTAAGGAGTGAGTGAAGAAGTATTAAAATGAACATTAAAAATGGCATTAACTCCAGCCAATAGAATAGACCACTGGATAATCTGATATTTGAAAAGAGAATTAAATGAATAAAATTGATGTTACACTGAATAGCGAAAACATCAAAACCTATGAAAAACGTAAAAATGAATGTGAGATGGTTCTTCAAACACTAAACCCCATCTAGTATAATGTTTCACCACTGATGAAATTACCATAATCTGAGGAAGGTTTGCCGAAGGCAATTTGATCTGCTGTGGTTGACCTAAAGAAAATGTAATTGTCTAGCAAATGATAAATCTGAGTCACTGCCACAATTATTTCAACAATGTTGCCTCTTAGCTAGCCCACATGACTGAATTAAAAGATAAAGGACTAAAAATGTTGCTAATTTCACTTATATCCAGTAATTACTGGGACCCAAGGGATTTCACTGTCGAACAAATATTGGTAGCATCCAAAGATACATGTGACATTTTTCTTTCATAACTTCCGCTCTTCCCACTACCCCCAGCATCCTCTTCTGCCTTAAGAGAATTTCCAAAGTAGCAATATTACTGCCTCATATAAGCCATTATATTATCTAAACTTCAGTTTTTAAATAAAGCTTCACCATAATCTATTCTAATTCCCCTGGAAATGGTGGTGAGCCAAAGAGAAGCAGGGAATATCTTTATCATTCAGAGGTACATTTACACAAAGAATTGACTGTGCATGCTATCAGGTAAAGCTATGCACTAGTTATTTTCTTTAAGTATCATCTTTGCAAAATATACACTGAACCAGATTTTTCCAATGTTTAAACTGCTCTCTTGAAAGACACAGGCCCTTCTGGAAGCTTCAATAACTGAGTGAGACCACTGGGGTACCATTTGGTAAACTGCAGCTTCAGTGCACTAAACAGTACCCTAGTGGCCTGAAAGAGTTAATGCAGCATTTGTTGATCCATAACAACTCCTCAGGAATTATTTCTAGGTTGAGAGAATCTGCCTTAGATCATTAAGAACATTTCCTCTGACCTTTGGTTTCCTACAAAGGCCAGTAATAAGAAATGGTTCTCACCTATCTTATAGAATAGGCTAAGTTAATGATTTGTACATTTTATTAGAAGCAATATTAAATAGATTACTGAAACTTTGTCTTCTCTGGCAAGCAACACACTTCAAAGTTCTCTTTCTCAAATCATTTTACTTATCAAGAACATGGATATAAATTTTAAAATCTATAATTGTATATAAAACCTAACTCAAATGTCAAACTACTCTTAGTAAATAAATTAGGTGATATAGATGTTAATTCAACCTACGAATATTCTATACTTAATTACATGCTAAACTCTGTGACAGGCACTGGAATACAATGGTAAGTAAAAGAGTCCCTGCCTTTAAGATACTTTTACTCTACTGGAGGAATAGCCAAGCAACTAGAAAATGACATTCATCTATAAAAGAAATACATTCTTCTGTATACTTTAACAAATTGAAAATCTCCATTAGTCAACTATTTTATTGTTATCATAAAGTTCAGTGGTTAAAATATAAAGAAATCAATTATGGATATAACACTGTGTATATTCACAGTATTAATTTTGGTGGTTATTTTCATAGTAAGAAACGACATTATGATTATGAATAACTGGATCACTGAAGATAAAACTAAATGAATTTAGCACTTCAATTTACTTTTCACGCATTAAAAAATTATCTTGTGCAACAGAAATGTAAATCTATTTCTTGGGAATTTCCCCCTTTTATTGTTTATCCAGCTTCTTATCTACAAAGGTTATTTAAGGCTTTAAATATTTTATTTTAAACCCTTAATTCATCAACCTCTGGATTACTTTTCCATATACAGTATTTAAGGACATTGAGGTTCGTTATAAAAATTTACTGATTCCCTAAGGTTCATGTTTTCCTTCTATCCCTTCTCCCTGTTTTCTTGCCTCAAATACTTAGTAAGCTCCTATGTGAAGCAGATAATTAAATAAAATATAGAATAAAATGCTTTTATTGTAAACAGAAGATAACAAATATTAAAAAAAAGAAATAAAGTGAAGACACACCCCAAATGCCATGTTTTCAGCTTAATAGAAAAGAGAAGACCTTTATCAATAATCATAACGTTTAATTTTTTATGACAAATGCCATGGAAAATCACAACAATCATCAGTGGGTGTGACCAGAGTAGGAGTCATTGAATATTTTCTTCTAACAAACCCAAGGATTCAGGAGGGTCACAGAGTGGGAAGGATGGGAGGAAGAAGATAATGAAACCAAGAGCTACATTCCTGCAATCTATCCTGACAATCAATAGGATGAGAGATGTCATAGTCAAGTAACCCACACCCTTTACTAAGCAGGTGATATTAACTTTGAGCTTTAATATCACACAGTAAATATCCAATCATGGATTTTCCACATAGTAGTCTCTTTCTGAGATTTAGCAAAATGGATGTCTTTCAAGATTCAACATTTAGTAAAAGTTAATTTATCTTAAACTCTATTACTTGATTAACCAGAATAAATTTTTAAAACTGAACTCTTTCTTTCAGAGTCATGATTAGAGTTAACTATTAAGTTTTACATTTAGATAGCCCCTTAGATTTATAAAGTGTTTTATATCTTAAAATGTTCATGTTGTTTTAGAGTCTTTTAACTTATATACAGCAAACCTATAAGTTAGCTGTTATTACTCCCATTTTGCAGATGAAGTTAACTGAAGAGCATGGAAATAAAGTTCCATATCAACAAATATCAAAGGTGGAACATAAACTCCTCATGTATTCTAATTCAAATTCATTAGCTGTTTCTAATGTACCACACAGTTTACTGTACAAGTATTTCCTAAGTTTCAAATTAAGATAAAAAGGAATGCTGAAATTGCAACACTAAATACAAAACATATGAGTTTTGAAAATATTTTGGAATGTAAACATATAGGTGATAATAAAGTATTATTTGATTCTCTTTCTACGGCCTTAATAAAAATATCTTCAATATTGCAAATTCAAGCAAAAGCCAGGTACAAATTTTAAACCAACCTGGTTCATGAAAGTTTCTTGGGCTTTCTTAGAAGGCAGTTTTGTAAAATTCTTGAATGGAAATCTGGACTCAGGCCTTGTTTCTTCAGCACTCCATGGGGGATGACTCAGTGGTAACATACTTGCTTACAGTTACTACAAATTCCCAGATGGCAAATCCATGGCTACAGCTGGAACAAGCAAAAGTAAGAACTCTGGCTCCTATTTAGTCTTGACAAAAGCTTCTTTTACCTTAGCATTTGAAATGTTTTTATAAAAAAATTGCTTGTAGATTTTTATAGTGCCTCCAAGGTTAAAATGGCAAGTATTCTTCTGCTTCAGTGCATCATGTGCTAGTACTTATCTCCATCCTCTTATAGAGGCTGAAATTCTTAATATTGTAATAAGAATAATAACAATCCCTTACATCTCAAAAGTGCACTACCCCTTATAAAGTGCTTTCACATACAAGATCTAATTTCATCTTCACAACATCTCTCCCCACAATGCTTGTATCCCCCAGTGTTCTGTCCGTAGCTCATCTCTTTTTCACTCTTCACAGTCTCCCTGGGAATATGATCGACACCTATGGTTTCATCCACCGCCTATATGGTGATGATGCCCAAATCTCTATTTTCAGCTTAACGCTCACACTGGAGATGCAAATGAGCACATGTAGCTGTCTACTGAACAACTCCCAGCGTTTATTATCGGTAACTCACATGCAACAAATGTAAACTGATTTTCTTCTCCAAATTTCCTATCTCTTCAAATTCTCCAGAATAGCTAATAACACCATAATCTATCAATTATCCAAGCTGAACACGTGAGAGTCTCAGTTTCTCCCTCTCTCTCACTCCCATATACAGTTACTAAGTCTTGCTGTCTCTAACCTAAATATCTCTTCAGTAGGATTCCTTCTTCCTTTTCCTAAGATATTTTTGGGAATATCTCCTTACCTTTCTCTTTTCTGAACAATTACAAAAGCTTCCTAGGTTTTTTCCCCATTTCCTGTCTGACTCCACATCCAGGCCATCTTCCAATTCTCCTGCCAGAATGACCTTCCTAAAAATACAGATCTGCTCAGGACACTACCCTACTTTAAAACTTCGGAAAAATTAAACTGATAGTGGTATAAAGCATGACAACAAGATAAGGTCCAAATTTCTTGATGGAGAATACAAAGACCTTCACAATATTCCCCCAAACTATATCTTGCTAACCTCACCTTCTCCATACTCTGAACACAGTAAGCAGAAGATATATTTGCTATTCCGCAAACTAGATCACCAACTTTCACACTTTCATGTCTTATCCTCTAATTAACAGAAATCCCCTACCTCCTACTCATCCTTTTAAGAACTAGTTCAAGATTCTCCCCAATTCTCTTAGGCATGGTTACCCAAGACCCTCTATTCCCAGATTTTGCTTACAACATCATAATGGTATACACGCACATATACCAGTAAGTGCCACCACAATATGAGCTCCTCAAGGGAAGAAACCTCTCTTATCCATCTTTATATCTCTGGTAGTTAGTACTGTACATGAACTTAGTTGAATCAAGTAATGTGTATGTCTGTGAGATATACAGCAATATCTCTACTTTACACAGCTTTGGAAAAGTCATCTACTGTAATTACACAAGTAAAACTAGAGTAAAGTTACTGAATTTCATCTCTCTCAAATAGTTTTAATGAGAATCAAATTTGGAAGATGTTAAAAGTAAAATGAGCCCTAATACATAGACATTTCCATGTAAATGTACATTAAAATGCATAGTCAATAAGGTTAAAGGTAAGTTACACCCCCGAGACAAAATATTTGCAACAGATGATAAATAAAAATCATTAATATCCTTAATATACAAAAAGATTTTAGAAATAAATGAGAAAAAGTTCCTTTTATTTCTCAATAACATGATAGAAAATTTAATTCACAAATGAAGAAATATAAATGACTATAAGCCTATGTAATGCTCAACATTATTTAGAAATATAAGAAATGAACAAACATGGGATAAAATTTTCAACCAAATTAACAAATATCACAAAACAGGATAAAATAATCATTTTAATAACGATTCTTTAAAATCGACACTATCAAGTACCTTTGAGGAAAGTGCAAAATCAATAAAACCTTTCTGGCAGAACAACTAGACAACATATACACAAAACCTTAAAATGTTGCACCATTTTCTCTTGTACATAATGGCACAAAAAATTATATCTATATTCTACCTACTGTGTAAAGAAGACTTCTTTTTCTTTAAGATTACCTTTTTCTAAGCTTCACTTTAGTTGTAGTTATATGCCTTTGTTTGTCTAATTATATTGTCATACTCCAAAAACTTCACAATGTGTTGCTTTTCCACTCAAAAACCTTCAATAACCTCCCATAATTTATGAAGTTAAGTAACAACTTCTCAGCTTAATATTCATAATATGGCTGCAATTTACTTTTTCTGATCTCATTTTCTAATAAGATTAGACTATACTGTTTCCCAAATGCTCCTTACACTTTCCTGTTATCACACAATGCCACATGCTATTCCTTTTGCTGGAAATGCCTTTTCTGCTGCCCATAATTGAAGGTTCAAGTCCTATTTATCCTTTAAGTCCAACTACTAAAACTATTTCCTTCATTTGGGTTTTCCACATCTATAGGATGGGGATAATAAACCAGTCCTAAGTGGTCATTGTGAAGCTTTAATAAAGCAGTGTAGAATACACCAAAGAGGCAAAATAAATATTTACAGAGTAAATAAAGTCCCCGCCCCTCCACCACTGAAGCCCTAATGTACTATTAGAATCTACTGTAGAATAAATACACTAATGTCTTGCATTTTCTTTTTTTTCTTTAAATTGAGGTATAATTGACATACAACATTAGATTAGCTTCAAGTGTGTAATATAATGAGTCAATATTTATATATATTGGGAGATGATCACCATAATAAGTCTACTTAACATCAGTCATCATACATAGTTACAGAAGTTTTTTTCTTGGTTTGAGAACTTTTAAAATCTGCTCTCTTAGCAACTTTCAAATATGCAATATGGTATTATCAACCTTAGTCACCATACTGTACACTACATCCTCACGGCATATTTATTTTATAACTGGAAATTTGTACTTTTCGACTCCTTCAACAACTTCCTCTTTCATTTTCATGATACAAATATGGAAGGAAGGTACTAAGAAATTAATTTTAATGAGCACCTACTGTTTAATAGGCTCTATAATGTCTATTTCTCTAAAGCCAGTTGGTTTGATCTGAATTTTTATTTGTTTAAGAATAGATCTGTAAGTTTTTCTAATTGCTTCGTGTTTCTGTGTCCAGGGTCCTCTTTTCTACTACTTCTGTCTCTCTTCCAATGTTAAGCACTGTTGTAAACACAGAATTTGGTAAAATTTAGTGTCAAAATGAAGGATGCTATGCTTCTCTCTATGCCATTGAGCAGAACCTGTTTCTTAACACAATACCCTTCTGGGATCTTCTAATTTGAAATATAAAAAATTAGCAATAAAATTGATTTTCCCTTTCTTTCTGTTTTAAAGATTTATTAATTATAAAATAAAGCAGAGATAGAGATAATCATGAAAAGTGTATAATTTGTTGAATTATATCATGCAAAACCCCTACAACCACCTCCCAGGTTAAGAAATAGAACTTTGCCAGCCACTGTAGAAGTCTCCATGTAGCTTAGACCAATCAAAACAACCTCCTTTCCCTTAAAACTAATCATATCCTGACTTTTATAATAACCACTTTCTTGTATTTCTTTATAGTCTATTCACCCAAGTATGCATTCCTGGACACTATAGCTTAGTTTTCCTTTTCCATCTCTTATACTTTACAGGTTTCTACTCTATCTCTTTATTTTCCTTATGATTAATCTGTTGAAAAGCCTGAGCCATTTGACCTGTAGAGCTTCCCACAGTCTGGGTTTTCTGGTCGCATGTACATGAGGCAGTTTAAAATGTGCCTAAAATTTATTTTTAAAACCACCTCCAGAACCAATGATTCTCTGAATTATAAGCAAATTAAACCAATGATAAAAATCTAATTCCCTTAAAGATTAAAAATGCCTTGTGTAAATCTCATTTGGAATTTAAAGTTTAGCCTAGGCTAAGATCCCTAGTTTAACAAATTCAGCACAAATAAATTGTGCTAATGGAGTTACACAGGCTATCCAAAGTATTTCATCAATCAAATATTACTTACAATATTAACCTTAGGAATACACTGTGTTTTATTTTCTTTAATAACATATCTAAATTTCTTTATTTTCTTGTTTCCTACCTTTATCACAAACTCATACTAAAATAAGTTTGCAGTTTATTGCATCCTTATGAAATTAACTTTAACATACAGCAAAATACAGCAGGTGAGATGGGGGGACATGCTTGTGACAGGGAAAAACACCTAGTGATGTGACACATCTGTTCCCTGTTACCCACAGCAAGAGTACCACACACAGAGCCAAGGACTGGCAATTATTAGCATGTTCCAGGTCAGAGAAGGGGAGATGATGGATATATTATCAAACAAAAATATATTATCTGGGACAGGAGACAAGATAATTTGTAGAAAATAAACTGACAGCTTATAAAAAATGTTTGCTTCCCTCTGTCATTTATCATGCCCATAACTCCTTACAACTGAAATATGAAATGTTAAACAGAGAATATCAATGTTCATTTTTTATGTACTCTTTGTATCAAATTATCATATGTAGCTCTTAAAATATCTCTATGATACTGAGCAAACTATCACTATCTCCATTTTACAGAGTGAAAAATAGAGGACGGAGAAATTAAATAACTCGTCTAAGAAGTATAGTCAGGGCTTGGATATCAGGAATTTTTGGAGGTTGTGAGGTATGGTATAGAGCTACTAAATGTGTGGTCTACAGACCAGAAGCAGCAGCAGCAGCACACCTCTGGTCCCTCCCCAAGTCTGAGGTCACAATTTATAGGAGCAGAACTCAGAAATCTGTATTGTAACAAGATATCCAGAAGATTCATAAACATAGTAAATTTTGAAGTACATCATTGGTTTAGAGGAAAGATCAAGAGTTTTAGAGTCAGCCAAACTGAGATTAAATTAGAACTTTTAGAGTTGTAATGATGAAGAAATCATCATGTATGTGAGGTACTTAAGATAGCACTCAGCAGGGGATTGCTGAGAAGATGGCAGTAGGAGGACTCTGAACTCACCTGCTCCCACGGACACAATAAATTTACAAGTACCCTTGGAACAACTGCCCCAGAAGGAGAACTTTAAACTGGATAAAAGAAGCCCTACAACAATTTATAGCACTAACTGAGGTGAAAGAGGCAGAAATACCTTTCTGGAGAGGAAAAAGCCACATTCTGGCCATGGCACTTCATGGCTGGGAGCAATCTTAAGGTACAAAGTGTTCCCTGGAGAAGCAGGGACTCTGAGGGGGAGAGCTTTGCCAGAGGATCAGCACAATCAAGACAAGTGTCATACTATATGGCTTTGCTGGTGATTAAAAACAACAGGGAATACCCCCAGAAAAGTTATTATACATAAGAGAAAGAAAAGCCTGCTCTTAAAGGGCACTCACAAATTCACCCATTCTGGAAAGCAACACAAAATCACAAGAAAGAAAGGTACACAGTCCTCTGGTGAAAGAGACTCACTTAATAGGCTCTGGGTGCATCTCAGGGAGGCAGGAGGTCGCTGGGACCACCTCCCCAGGGACTGAAACATTGGCAGCAGCCATTATTGTGACCTAGCACATGTGTGATGACAGAGATGCTGGCAGAGGCAGTTGGAGTCCTTCCCCTGGCCTATTAGTGCAGAGGTTTGCACCACCCACTAGAGCAAGGATTTAACCCAGCTAAGCCAGGGCAGGCAGGCTGCCCTAGAGACTGGCCCCACCCACCAGCAAGCCCTCAGGCAACTTGTGGAGCAGCATAGGTGGGGGTGTGTGGGACCTCTCCAGGAGGGTGACTGGGTCCACCTCTGCAGGGCAGGTTGTGTGCAAGGGGCAGGCCTGCATTGGAATAGTGTGTGGGGTCTCTTCAGCAGGGCAAGTGGGTCTGCTTCAGTGGGGCAGGGAGTGTGTACAGGGCAGGACTGCATTGATGGGGTATGTGGGTTTGTGCATAGTGGGGCATGTGAGCTGCAGAAGACTTGTGCTTCTCAAACAGCCACATAGGGGAACTGCGCCACCTTCCAATGCCTGAAACTACTGCATGCTGCCATGCCTGGGGCTGGCCCCACCTAGCTGCACTAGTGAGAGAGCTGACAACAGTCTTGCGGGCCAGAGGACTACAGCAATTGTGAGCCCCTGAGCCTAGCAACCAGTCATGCTGGGGGCCTACTCACTTAACAGAAAAACTGCATTAGGAATGTGCTATTAGACCTTGCAGCCAACTGTGCTTGGGCTCCCCCAACCCAATAAAGTGACTGAAGGGTCGGTGGCAGCTACACACAGCTGAGGATTACAACCAGCCGGCCAGGCAGATAGCCTAGCTCCCCATGCACCTGCAGCAAGAGCAACCCTGCCACAACAGAAGGAAAAATGTAGACCACACTGGGGACATTCCTGGAACATTTGGAACTGGTCACAAAAGGGAAGCACATTGCTGAGCCTCATAAGGCATCTCTTACACAAAGCCACTTCTCCAAGATTGAGAGACATAGCTGATCTACCTAACACCTAGATATAAGCACAGAGAAATAGGCAAAATTAGGAGACAAAGGAACATGTTCCAAATAAGGGAACAGGACAAATCCTCAGAAAAAGAACTAAATGAAACAGAGATAAACAATCTACCTGATAAAGAGTACAAACTAATAGCATAAGGATGCTCACTGACATTGG